AGCGTGTGGCGCCGCGCTGAGCGCTTGCATTTAAAAAAATTAATTTCTGTCTTTTGCCACGACAGCTCGAGGAAGCGGCCAAATGAAAGCAAACCGTCCCTGCAGCAATGCACAGTCAATGCCAGTTCACTGGAGAGCCGGTTGAAAGTAGCTCTGAAAATCACATCGCTCCTTTTTCCTTCTAATGCTTTCCAGTTACACGGAAAAATCTGAACTTTTCCTTTCCTGTTCCAGTTAACTGTAAATGCCAACCCAGCAGCAGCAGCCTGTCTCCCCGGTCCTGAGTAAGATCTAAAAGCTGCCAAATTCATACCTGGGTCTGTTTGACCTAAGTCAGCAAGCAATTGCAAACAGTTCTGCTTCTTGGGGACACCAAACTTCCCAGAGCCTGTTAAACAGTAAAATTTGCCTGTAACTCAAACCCGTTAAACAGAAACGAGAAAAAAGGTTACAAATGGTGTCATAGTGGTTAAATTAATGCAAGGGATTAAGTTTCTCTCAGGATAGAGAACATATTCCCACAAGTCTGATAGTTCCTTACTGCTGCCAGAGTTTTCACATCCGGCATATTGCAGATTTCACCAAAAAAACCCAGGCTGCTACTCTTGCTTTATCATAAGATACTAACAAATTTTACTGCACTGTCAACATCTAGGAGGTTGAATAAGACAATGAATGACATGATTTTTCACATGATAATTCCCAAATAAGATGTATGATATGCAGCTTTTGCTGAATATTTAAATGCCTATCCAAAATTTTGCATTTAAAAGTTGAATTACTTAGAAGTTGAAGCAGCTAATGCAGTCTTGCTAAGATCTATTCCTTAGTGGTAAACAGCTCAATGGATCTATAGCAATCTAAGGAGTAAGTCACTAAAACAAAAAGGTACCACAGTACCCTTCTACTAAGCCAACACAAAATGTTGCAGAGTAACTGTGAAACAATGAGCCAAACAAAATTACAAAATGAATTTATTCCAAAAGCGTAAGGGAACATTTACAATTCAACAAGATGGTAAACAGGCGTCTCCACAAGAACTCACTGCATTAAAATTAAATATGAAACTGGGTGGGGGTGGGTGGGATCTAACTACTTCTGAGGCCACAAGAACTTTGCATATCACCTCTGAAAAACAGGAGTCCCGTAAAAAAACCTCACTCAACATTCAGTGAGAAAATAAGCTGCTAGTACCTAGTTATTAGTCTAAATACAAGCTAGGTTTAGGCTTTGAGATTACATTTTTAAATTCCCTCAAAACACAAATTATAGCCACAAGTGCAAAATGTCTGTTTTTTCTTCCCCCCCAATGGAAGCTTATTACCCATCTAGCGCCTATTTTCAGAGTGACATTTTGGTCTCATGAATTTGTCTTTGAAAGCTCTTTGCCAAGTTTGTTGGTTTTAGTGACAAATCTCACTTTAGCAGCTGGCTTCAATCAGAAATACAAAGTCAGCTCACATGTCCCGGAATGTCCAAAGTTTGCTGCCTACTGCTTCAGAGTTAAGCAAAAATAGACTTCTAATTTAGCGTCAACAACGTCTCTAACTTTGACATAGTTTTCTGGCCTTCTGATGGTAGTGATAAATATCAGAGTGTTAATGAAGACACCTGAGTCAGATTCACAAGCAAATACAAATGCAACTAGGTGGGGAAACATCACTTTCAGGCATTTGTCTGTGGATATCAAATGGCTGGACAAAAAAAGGAGGATAAGAAATAACCTTCATTCTTCTAAAGCCTAAGCTATTTTACATCAACATGCCCTGGAACACTCATTAAAATTCTTTTCCTCTGTCCCAACTTTATACTATCTGCTAATTCCTTTACAATGTTGAATGACCTGAGAAGTAAAAATTTTGAGTGGTGAGAATAAAAAAAAAAAAAGCATTGTGCTCTACATTGTATTTTCTGGGTGTGCACCAGTAAATAAGAATCCCAAGTTGCTATGGAAAAAAATAGCATGGAATTGTTAGCTTTTCCACCTGAATTGAACTACATAGCTGGAATTTTTCAATGTTACCCAAAATACAATTTTATTTATATATTTTTAAATGCAACTGTATTGGTAAAAAAAAACAAAAAACAAAAAATCACAAAACAAAACAAAAAAACCCAACAACCACCCTCAAGTGCCAACTAATCCAGAAATCTGCAAAACATAGAAAAGAGCCAGGTACTGCTACGGTCCAGCTCTAGCCTATGAAGCTTAATCACTGCATCAGTCTTTACTCATTCCTGGAATAATTCTAGTCATTTATTGTTTTGTTTTTCCTGTTCATTTACTGAAATTTCACGGCATAACTATATGCACATATTCATATTAAACATTAAAAATTCATTTGCAAAACATCACTTTTGCATTACAATGCACGGAGAAGAGTAAGATGTGCAAACCAAAAAACACCACATTCTCCACATCTCTAAGTAAAAGGACTGCTTCATGCTACAAGCAAAATAAATTTCCATCCATGTTGCAAACTTTAAAAAAAAACAGCATATATCTCATTCAATTCCATTTAAAAAAGTAAATCAAAGCAAATTTAACAATGGTACTCTTCTCCACATATTGCAAAATATGGTTACAGATGAGGAAAGGATTACTTCAGCTGCTAAGCTTATCTGACATGTATCTCTGTTGTCATGCCTTTCCTGTCCATTACTTAATACATAAACTCAATTACATAGTTTCAGTTATGCAGTAGCTGATTTTTAGGTTAATAGACAGACTGTCAAGATGTAGCTTTTGATAAACCATCTACGTTCTTTTCCAATTTTGAATAAATCCTGAAGACATTTCAAAAATAAGAACCCAAAACTGCTGACTGTAAGCATCCAAAAATACAGTTGTAGTTTCACTATGGACAAGTTGTAGTCCGTTAGAAAAGTAGATCATACATACAAAGGTATAAAGAACATTTAAGTCAGTCTTAAGTGGAAGGCAGTCCTTGAAGGAAACAATACTCCAAGCAAACTTGCTGAGTAGCACTTTCACTTTAGCCCTTCAGGGGCATGGAAGATTTAGCGGTCTACTCAGTAGATTCTTCCTCGGCTACGATTGCCACGTCCTCCCCAGCCTCTTCCTCGTCCACCCCGGAAACCACCTCTTTGCTCTGAAATAAAAGTCAAAACTTTTCATACAGGTTTTATGCTATATACAGATTAAAATTAAATAGCAATAACTGGAAGTATTGAAGGTTGACTTAAGTCTCTGAGGCTAATCCTGCTTATATACCATGAGATCTCCGAGTTATGCTTTGATGGACAACAGACCCCACTAATTGTAAAAGAGAGTCAGAAGCACTAGCCTCTCTAAACCAAATGTAGTCTTTCTGCACGCTAGTACTACAATACATAACTGTCCCATTATTTTAGAACTATATTTGGGCCAATCCATTACCACAGAATTGAAAACTGGTCTGTAAAGGACTTCATTAGACTACCTAGCTTATCCTTCTGTCCAATAACACCATGTCAATCTTGAGGTGTTTGTCTGACTTGCTGCTAGTGATTTATAAAATGATGGAAAACCATGACTTTGTCAGTCTATTTGTCCTTTTCTATCCTTAACATTAAGTTATCACCAGCATACTTGAGTTTTTTTGCTGGGCTGGTATCTTACCTATATCCAGCTAGAAATCAGACATAGACAGATACCACACAAACTATTTGTATACTGTAGAAAATTTTTCCTTTCCCTTTCTTAAGAACAAATCTGATCACAGCAAAAAACCCCACAAAATATTTTGTTAAAGTTTCTTTGAGTTTGTTTGAAAATGTATCGAACACTCATTCCCCTTCCATGCTTTCTCTTCACGTACAGTCTAAAAATACAGGTCATATTAATCTACAAAGAGAACTGTGTACTGATTTTAAAGAGTACCGAAATCAAAAGCTGACCAGAGGCCTAAGCAGCTCACTAACAAGAAACAGTAGCAAGCAATAAAACATTTTTCGTTGAAAATTCCTAATTTTTAGAACCATAGGGCTACAAGCTTATCTTAAAGACACAGGTGCATCACCTGAACTCTGCAGTAAGAAATCTGCAGAAGATTTTATCTTTTCTCTTTGTTTTATACATATAAGAGTGCTTTGTATCAGTTTTTCAACCTAGGGGCATGGGTGACAATTTGTCATAGCAGGCTGTTTACTGGACAGGGGGAGGACCAGTGGGCCTACAGGGAAGACAAGAAGAACGGGTTGCTGCCATTGTTGGGCCTATTCATCCAGTTTGCAACTGCTCTCACGTTTTGCCCAGAAATTCGACTTGCAGAGAGACAGAATCACTCTGGCTGGGAGCAGGAGGACATAACTGCGCGTGTGCACAGTGAACCTGGCAATTCCCAGAAGCTCTGGATCAGGTCTGCAACATCAGCAGTGGCTGTAATAGGAATTCAGCACAGGTCCAGTTGTATGACAGGAGGTGGCCCAGCTCTGCCACTTGCAGAAACTGGTCTGTCCAATGGGCAATTTGGGGTGCGAGTGCTGCGTGTCGTAACAGAGAACACAATAGTTCAATTACTAACCATGCATTAAAACACTACTAGAACTAACTTGCAAATGACACATAGTTTATAGGCTGGTAACACTCAAACACTAATAGATCAACAGCTAGAAAGAGATCATTACACACAAAAATTGGTGACAGTACAATTTGACCTTCCGAGAATGTGATAGTTTAATTTGTTTGTTCCCCCCGCCCCAAGACACAACTGTCACTATACAAAGTTTTTCCAAGCTGCCTAACTTACCGTAAGAAAAACTACCCAAGTTACTGCTGTACTTTCCACTGGGAGGATTATATATTTGCCTGGCATCCCTTTTTGGTCCCGCCGAAGCTTTCTTTGGGGGTGAACTTGAGGTTGTATCTTCACTTGCTCTTTTTTGACTGACAGAAGAAAACAAAACCAGAACATTACACCCCTGTGGTGACAAGTACAGGAATAGCAGTTCAGCCTCATTAGCAGCAGCTAATGAAGATGCCTTGAATAATACTTCAAAAGAGGAGGTAAGCCAGTCTCCAGTTGATTCGGTTTATTGTATCCCTAAAGCAAGACTATCACTCCACAGCCTCAATTTCTTCCAGGATGGGTGTTATTTCTGATTGTGAAACTTCTAGCTCATGTGCTGTGTATATTATATATACACAGCTTGGGATCTTTATTTTGTAAACAGCAAATACTAACACCACTGCGTTCCTTTTTTTATGAAAAACTCTTACCTTGCATCTGCCTTCTGTACTGGTTTCCAGGACAGTGTAACTGTACTTTTATAAGAAGGGGGAATGTGGAAGAGATCCTACGGAGGCAAAATCAGACAGTTTATTCTACAGTTAAATTCAAATTGCACTTCAACACTTTAGCTACCTACTAAGACTCCAGAGTAACAGTTACTTTCCATCAATTTTAAATTCTTTTCGAAGTCCCATGGCAGAGGGAGAAGGCAGCAGTAGCTAACTGCCTTATCTGGCTGCCTTAGCCCATACACTTTATTAGGAAATTGAAATGAGCTTTATATTAACAGAACAGTGTTTTATACTGACATGATATGCTTTCTCCCTCTCCCTATGCACATCAAGCATCTTATAATGAACTCCAATGGCTCCTGCAGGAGACATCTGATATCCCTATGACGGTAAAAGATAGGCTTCTAAATACTGTGGGCAAGGTTTTTGGTTTATTGTGGTGACTGAGGGTGAGAGATGGGAAGTGAAGAAAGAGAGGAAAAGGTGGTTAGAAGAAATCACAACGGTTTCAAGGGCTCTGGATGGAAGTCTCTTTCTGCACCCCATCTCTCCTAGACTTTTTGGAGAAAAAGGTTCTGTAAAGCAGCTTGCTTTGCCTCCTCCCTCCTTTATATCTCCTTGCACCTCTTCAAACTATTCCTTACCCCTCCCTGCCACTGCAGGAAAGGGAAATGGCAAGGAAAAAGGCTCGGCCAGAATCCAGAGACCCCTAAAGCAAGGTCTTCTACTCCTGCGGGCAACTAGTGCTGCAAAAAAGGGCCTCAACACCGTATCCCAACAGCAGCAGCAGCAAAGGCCAAGCAGCTTGCATACACAGGAGATCCATGTCTCCTCAGAAACAGTAAAGTGGGCAGCCACCCTGAACTGGCTAACACTGACTAACTTAATAACACAATACAACTTTGTTCAAATCTATTCCTTTTTTCTGCATAGGTTACTCTGTGTGAATTTACTCCTTCATAATGTGAGGACTTACCTTGATTAAAACATTAATGTTATTGGTTATTTTCAAGGCAACCACTTTAATCTTGTTCTGTAAAAAAAGAAACACCACTGAACACCTACTCTAGTAGCTTTAAATTATGCCAACTACATTGGATGAAGTCGTAACATTAAACTGACTACTCTTCCCAGTGAATTGCTACAGTAATAGTGAAATGTGTGTACACTGCTGAGGTTTCATTACAACTATTTTTAGGCTTCTTGCAGTTTTACACTAACTAGTTGCTTTTAATGTTCCACTGTACTTCCCACTAAAATTTTTTCCCCCAATATATGAAAATTTCCCCTTCAAAACAAAATGCAGAGCACAGTTAAGCCAAATACACGTGGATGCGGAGAACAGCTAACAGTAGAAACTAAAAGATCATCTCAGCTTGCAAAATGCAGTGTCAGGTGAGATGCAGTTGCAATAGATGTTAGCAGTATTATTCCCTTAATCTATTTGCATGCTTACAACAGACTGCAGCCCATTCATGCATGCCAATGGTTATTTCGGTAGGCTCAATGAGAAAAATCAGAATTCCTGAACAATACTTACCTCCTCTGTTTTCAAGGCTTCTCCTGTTTTTCCTTGAAGTGCTAGACGAAGCTGTCGAATATATACCTGCAATCCTCGAGCAAAATACTGTAGCCTATAAAATTTAAAACCAATCTGTTAATAAATTTTACATATTCCCATAAAATAAAAGCATAAGCAAAGGGAAGCTGTAATCTAATTTTTTTCCCCTTTAGGAAAAATGCTCAAAATAAGTCTGCTATCAATCTGATTTGTGCTTCTTTAGCATCCAGACAATAAAAACTCACACTTTCTTACAAAACTCTAACACTTGCCTCTAAATGATTACCTGATTTTGAAGTCTTTCAATTTCTCTGCATTCAGCTTGGCTGTGAGGAAGTCTGGAAGTTTACGACCCAGCTGATGGAAGCTGTACAATAAACACTCCACATAACTGAACTGCAACTTGGGCTCTTCATTGCTGGCATTTTCCCCATTCTCTGCTTCCTCCGGAGGAAGGGGCATATACTCCTAATGAACAGAAAGGAAAAACAAATGCATGAGACACACTTAGGCAGACTGACTGTTCTTTTGCAGTGTTTGAACTGGAAGGTTTGTTTATGCTGACAATTTAAGAAATATCCCCCATCCCTATGCTAACGTGATGAACCGCTGCATGAAGTTCTGGTGCAGGTGGTTAGCTACACTTCTGTGACTTGGCACCTCTGACTCAGAGGAAATACTACGGTGGCACTGCTACCACAGGAAGCAACAATGTACTGCACCAATGCTTCTGAAACAGCGCTGAATTTACTGAAAATTGTCAGCGCAGTTATAGCCTTTAATGGGATCAACATGAGTCTTCTCATGACTATAAAATTTAAAAACAACAGAACCACATGTGTTTACTGGATTAAAAACATTATGCAGGTAACAGCTCTCTACATCTACAAAGGCTTTGAATTGCAAAATTATGTTTGACCTTATATCATGGACAGAGCTATTTTTGAAATAGCCACTTTAGAAAAAGGATAAATAGATTAATAGATAAAAAATAACTTGTTTTGATGAAAACTTTTAAAAAGTGTTTTACGTGAGTAAAAATTGAATTAGTCTTACCAGTAATTTATCAAACAGCTTCTTCAAATTTGATTCAAGCTTCTCCATATCGCCACAAAATGAACTCATTTCAGCAAGAAGCTTCAAAACCTACACATAAGGATAGCCGCATTTTTGTGTGAAAAGTACAAAGGCTTAACTTTCAACCTAAAAGCGATTATCACATCATTATGGCTGGCACAGTAGAGGTCAGCTATTACAATTAAGCCCCTCCTAAACATCAGGAAAGAGTACAAGGAGGAACATGCCTAGTCTGTTTTTCATGTCCTCTAACAGAAACACAGGTTTGTGTGTCTAATCCCAACAAGCATCATTAGTCAACAAGTAAATAAAACTTCATCTCCCACGTCTGCAGCGCAGCTCACCTTCAAAGTGAGATTCAGAGATCTAACTGAAGCTGCAGCACTGATTAATGTAAGCAAAATTACAGACATTAAGCCACTCCCTTAGGAGGCTAAATTAGCACAAGCCATGCAACAATCATTTCAGTAAATGCTATGTGCTTAAAAAAAATTGACAGTAATATAAAAATTATTACACCGATCTACTTATTCTAGCCTTGCTTCAAAAGCTCGGGACAAATGACACATGCTTTAAAAGGCAATGTTCAGTCATGCCTCAATACAGCAAACATTTTTTTTCTAGCGTAGCAAGTTTTCCTCCAAGCCAAGAAATGAAAACCACTTAAGAAAAGAGTTCGCAATTTTTAAAATAGCTGTCTTGTCTAAGATGCTTATTCTTTATGATTTGAAAGACATTTTAGCTTTGGCTTACCTCTAACTGGATATCAAGACCCTCCACTGGAGTAGTCAAAGAACTGAGGTTTGGCAGAACATGCTCACAGAAGTAAGTAACAAATTTTGTGGAATGAACATTTTTCTGCAAAAAACACCACACGTTATTCAGGCTACTCTGAGTTTGAAGGAGTTAATTGTTTTTTCCCCACCACTCCGCCACCCTTATAAATGCCTACCACACAGCTACACCTTAAAGCTTTATTAAACTTCCCTCTAACTCCTAAAACGCAGAGACCCTTCCAGGTAGCTTAAACTCAGAGGCTGTCTGCAACAGGGGCTGAAAAGATTGCCTGTAACCCAAGAACAGGCCTTTAAGTGCTGCAATTGCCTGGCACTAGGCTTGAAATAATCAAACTCATACATGTATGAACCCAATGTGAGAAACTTGTCATAATTCACTGTAACATCTTAAATTTGAACGAAAATGTCAAAGAGCAGAGAATAACACAAAAGCTCTTTGTATTCGGAGCCTTTAAGGATGTTTTCCAACATTTTAATACATCAGAAGCTGAAGGTGGAGAAATACTGATATGCTATCATTCTAACATAATCACTGAGAACACCAAAGAGAAGCTACAGCCATTAACTTTCCACAATATTCGTCATGCAAAGCAAATAAATACATACCGAGAAGAGTGGCACTGCCTGCCGAGTACACTGCAGAAGTCTGTCCACACAATCTGGATCAGATGGATTGAACGTTTGTTCCAGGTCAGCTTGTTCGGCTACCAGCTCCACTAGTTGTTGCCTCCCACTTACTGTCTGTAAGCTTTTTAATCCAGACAATATTTTCATGAACAGAACAAATTCCTCGCCTGTCACGTCTTCCAGCACCTTAACAGCACATCAGAAAACATATTTCTATGGTGGTAATTTGCAAATGCCCAAGTCAAACCTACTTGATTTGAAAAGTATGCAAATATTTAGCATTTAAATTTAGCTTCTAGTTATTTAAAAACACAAGTTTAAAGAACACATGAAAACATGCAGTATAATTGTATGCAGCTCCAAATTAAAGTAACTGCCATCAAGTTGTGCATAGGAAACATTATTTTTCTTGAACTCTAACCTTAAGAACAAATTTCTCTAACAAAACTGTATGCTTCGGGCAGAATAAACGTTAAATTAGTATCTACTCATTATAGATTGTTTTAATACTTTTTGTATCTTTCTCAGCTTGGGGAATGCACAGGAATCTCATGAAATTCAACAAAGACAAATACGAAGTCCTGCACCTGGGATGAACTAACTTCCCTCAGTCAGCACGTTGGGGACTGACTGGCTGGGGAACTGCTCTGCTGAAAAGACCCTGAGGGTTCTGGGGGACAGCAGGCTAAACGTAAGCGTCAGCAGCATTCCCTGGGTGATGAACAGTGTCCTGGGCTGTGACAAGAGCATAGCCAGTAGACTTGAGGGAAGCAAAGGGATCGAGCTTTCTCCTTCGCTATGCGCTCATTAGACCAAATCTGGAATACTGCACCTAGTGTCAGGCCCTCCTGTATGAGGAAGTTCTTGATAAGCTTTAGAAAGCCCAGCCAACAAGGTGATCAGTGTCTAAAGCACATGACCTGTGAGGAGAACCTAAGGAAACTGGGCTTTTTCAGCCTAAAGGAAAAGTTATAAGGAGGTGAGGCAATCCAACACTCATCTTCCAGTACTTAAGAGCAAGCCACCAAGAGTAGGAGCCAGGTTCTTTACTGAGGTGGACAGGGTGAGAATGAGACAATGATACAAAACTGAAATGGGAGGTTCCAACTGGATAAAGAAAAAAAAAAAATCTCATGTTGAGGACAATTAAACATTGGAGCTGGTTGCCCAGACAGTATGGGAAATCTCCATCCTTAGAGGTTTTCAAAACCCAACCGGACAAAGCACCGAGAAATCTGAATTCAGCTGAGCATGATTCACTGGGGTAATTGATCTCCCTAAGTCCCTTTCCAACGTGAATGATTCTATGATTCTAATAAAAGATGCTCTCACAAAATGAGAAGAGCCTAGAATTATTTTAACATTCCCACAAAAAATGCTGCAAAGTTTGGATTGTAGCAGAATAGGATAATTAGAAGACCGCATCTGCACAATGCTTAACTCTACATGTGGTTTAACAAACAGACCTCCAAAGCAACGCCAGTGATAAGGGATGGTTTAAGTTTGTGCTGAAATAAGACACTCACCTTCTTAGATTCAGTCAATATGAACTCTTCTACCTCCTTTGTCATCACCTCCTCAGGCAGAGTTTTCAGTTTTGTAGAGAGGAACTTGATGGCTCGCTCTCTTACAATATCCTCTCCCTGAAGAATTTGACTGAATAAGCCTCCCAAAGTCCCTGAATGGAGAATAAATCAGGTAACGCAAATTGTCTTAGAAGTCAAGAGCTGAACCGTCTAAGCAGAATAAAGAAGTTTCCTCCTCTAAGACTCCATGACACATTTTAAAATAACTGCTATACTAACTGTTAAGAAAAAGAACAATTTTCACATAGCTTGACATAAGAATCCACATTCTTTCATTGATCTGTATGATTCAGATCCACAATTATTGAAAAGTTCGGTATTGTTTGTAAAACCAAACAATGGGCGCGTGTCTAACTTTTGCATTGTACAAGAAGATACAAAATTGAGTCCTGTTTTCATCCTACTAGAGACTGGGAAGTATTAATAAAATTCATTTATAGAAAAATGTGTCATTTACCTTTAGCATCCATCTTAAATATACTGAGCAAAGCATTGTTCACCAAATTGAATTCTGCAGAATCATCTGAAGAGAGAAAAAAACCTGATATGCATATCCGTGAAATGCAAACGTAAGAGCAGAAAAACAAAGAAAGATTTCTGATCTCACACAAGAAGTATTCTATCCTCAGCATTTAATCATAAACAACATAACTTGTATTTTTAATGACTACTAGACTGAGGAAGTAGAAAGCCATGATTATGAAAGCTGGAAGCAAAACAAAAACCTTTTTAAGCTATTTGCCACTTCAGCTTCCCTGCCAAAACTTTAACATTACAAACGTGATAGGACTGAAAACTTGAACGGAAGTTATTAATCAATATATTTAGTCATTTTAAGGAACAGCTGAATAAACAAGCTGACCTTTACTAAATTAAGGTAAAACAAACAGTTATTTCTTTTTAAACTCTTAAGTAATCTACAGTATTTCTAGGTGGGAGAAACAATTTTCCTCTTGAACTAAATGGAGAAATGTGTAAGTCTCAAAAAAAAGAAAACGTCCCTTCTGAGAAGCCTAGAGACTTAATCATGCATTTTTAATACAAATTTGAACATCTAATATTTAGCACTCTATAACTTACTGAGATTAAAAAATACATATTGTATATTGAATTCTGAATTAAATATTTTATACCAAAAATACATTGTATGGAAGAAAATGCCTTCAGGATTTTTAAAGTTCCCAAGTACACGGTTTAGAAATCCAGTAACTCTTTTTCAGAACGCAATTTGCTGCAGTCCATAACTGGAGGGGTTTCTGTTTTGCTCGTGTGTCATCCCTCCCCCCCTGCCCTGATGCTTTCAGAGAACTTGAATGAAAAAAAGTTGTTGAATTTAAAAGAATGATTTTCAGTTTAGATTAGGATAATTAGCGACCTTTCAGCAGAAGTAGCAGCATAACTGTACAGCAAATATAAAGGGGAGGGAAAAAGAGCAGAAGCAGGACATGAATGGCACTGGACAGACTGCTTTATAACAAATTATGAATCAACAGAAAACGTTTTACAGAACAAAACTGTATACATTTTTGGGTGTGCCACAAGGAGATCAGCCAGGAAACTACCAATGTCTCCTACCTGACTGTAGAAGCTGGGTCAGTATGTCTGCTACGCGAGGAAGATTATCTCCAGTGGCAAACTGAGGCAATTCCTTGATTGCTTGTCGCCGGATCTGTCAAAATTGTCAGTACCGTGGAAATAAAAAAAATTAAAAATTGAAGTAATTACAAAAAAAGTCACGCAATTCAACTACCAGAGTTTGTCAGAAAAATCAGCCAAATTTGAGAAAGTGACCACATATTCTTTTAACATCATATTCAGAAAGCAATGTTCAAGTTTCAGACTTTAATGGCAGTCCAAACTTCTTATTTGCCATGAAACTATTATGATATATTTATGAGGAAAATAATATACTTTTCTTAGATCTAAGAAGCACTGGAGAAAAACCAAATTCAAACAACACCTCTGTTCACAAAATCATGCATTTGATCAACAAAATGAAGGCCTGGAATCTCTGTTATTATTGAGTCTTCTTTGCTAACAGGAAGGATAGTTCTACAGTTGTGCATACGGCAGAGAGAAACTCTAGGTTTTGTTCCCAGCACTAACAAAAATCCTCGAATGATCTGCCCAAATAGTTCAAGTTCTGATAACCAAAGATGCTTCAAAGATACAGCTTCTATCAACACTACAGAAGCAGCATGAAGCATCTCAAGACTTTTGCAAGAATAATACATTCAGAATGACATCCCCATGGTTCTCAGGTACGAACAACATTTTCTCGCCTCCCAGCAGGATTTATGAGAATCAATAACCACAAAGCGCTTTTTGAAAGGAAAAAAAAAAATAGATATTCAAATAAACTGTACCAAAGTTTCTTTCTACAGAGCTATTCCTTTGATCAATGATGGGAGTGAAAAAGACAATGAAAACTGATGTATCTTCCCATACCATCACACAATAGATTCTTCGATTGCAGGAATACAACTAAGTATTCTTAAGTTTTCCAAAGACCAACCCTCCCCTCCTGAGAAACATAGCCTATAAAAAAGAGAAAAGAATAACAAAATACAAATTCAACCTATCAACTTGCCACAAGGTTCTTATTCTTACAGAAACATCTTCATCCTCACAGAGGTCCAACTGGGCATTGATAGCCGAGTCAGCCAGCTCAGGAAAATGCTTGAAGAACTTGGGAATAAACTGGGCTGCAAGCCTCTTCTCCTTGGCACCTCCTTTCACACCATCCAAGATCGCCTGGTATGCATCCTTATGCTGAAAGAGGAAAAACAGAACTCATAAATAGAAAAATCTTAGGGTATTCTCAAGACAAGGAAAGGATTTTTCTCTCTCCGCTTCACTTCAGCTATTTAAGTGAACTGTATTATACAAGCTTCATACAATTTATCTCTTAGACCGATATAACAGTGACAATTTAGTAAAATTTGCCTCTATTGGCTGGTTTTTACTGTTATTCTGGCTCCTCTGTCTGTTCAAGTGCTTACTGTTCAAACTGCCAGCCCTGAGGCTAACAGCTCTTGCACACTACTTGTGATTAGATTAGTGCTGACTCAAGGAATTACATGATCACCTTCACTGAACTTGGGCAGTTTTTCAAGGAGTTTCTGCCTTCTGTCTGCTCGTTTATTGTCTCTCACATAGAGGTTACCTCTCCCAACAACTGTGCCACTGCAACAGATCACGAATGATTGTTAACGTATCTTGCGTGAAAGCATCTCTGGCATCTATTCAAGCAGTTAACTTAATCTGAGATAAAAGATAATTCTTAAAAGATCTGTTAACAGAGACCAGATCAAAAAAAAAAAGAAATCTCCAGCTGAAATATAGAAATAAACTCTTCAGCAACAGAGTAGAATATTCTCTAGCTGCTCCAACTAGAATCACACAGGTGTTTCTGATTTTGTGCCTGCAGGACTGAAACTTCAGAATAAACGGAAGTCTTTGTTGTGGTTAGCTATGTGTTTGCGAAATAAAAGTCAGCATTACTAGGATGCTAGCAGAAATCAGAACTTTCTATCATTCATTTTCCTCATGGTTGTGAAAAGAATGCTTTAGACAACTTATCCTACTTTGAACAGCAACATCAACAGCACGGGACCCTTTGCTTTATTTACATTCAATTTCCCAGAGCCACATATATCATCACCCCTACTCCACACAAAAGTTCACCCATAGCAAATAGAGGTACTGAATTTACAAAGCAGTACACTGCATTAATTCCCTCTAAAGTAAGCTGTATTTTAACATTCAGTACCAGTGCTCCTTAAACACTCCCTACACCTTGTTGATAGCTCTCCATGTTGCCAGATTCTGAACTGGATTGGGACACTGATCTGGAAGAAAAATAACCAAGGGAAAAAATTGCTTGCTTTTCAGCTGATCCACATCCCCATCCAGTTTGCTCCGTAACTGTACCAACACAGTGCACTCAACAGCAAAGGCAGGAACGAGCCCGCACAAACTAACAATGAAATACACGTTATTATAGTCACAGGTTCTCAGACTGAACAACTTCTTTGTGGAACAAATTACTTAAACTTAATACATATTACAAAAGCATTCATAGAGCAATGAAACAGAGTAGCTTGTATTCCATGAATCTGTATTACTGCACACTAACTACTCCTATCATTTAGGCAAAATACAGTTCAGGCAGGAGTTTGTTTTACCCTGTACCTGGCAGCATTGAATGCTCAAGAAAAAAGTAGGTAACTGCAGAAACAGCATGAGCCTTCAGTTTTGCACATTTCCTCCCAATCTGTAACACAGGAATGTCCCAAGCCAGAGACAGTGTCCAGACCTTTATTTTTAATGTCTGTCAATTGACTAATCATCCATTAATTTCTCTAGATTAGTTCTTGAACCAATTCATACTCTATAATGTCCTGTGACAAGTTTCACAATGTGTTATGGAGAAAAGTTTGTCTTCCTCTTTATTTTAAGCCTGCTTCCTAACAGTTTTTTTCAAGTTCTCACCTTCATTCCACTCATGAGGTAGACTCCTCATATCTGAGCCCCTTTCTCAACTGAAACACTCGTTTTACAAGCTCAATACTTCTGGTCTTTTAAATTACTCCTCTTAATGTCATACTTCTGGTTGTCCCCTTGCTCTTCTCCTCATGTTCAAAGTTTCTTTTTTGAGACAGGGTGGCTATGACTTTTTGTAGTGAGAGATCATGTTCATAAGGTTGTTAAGAGATAATAAAGTAATAAGTGGGATAAAACTGATGAATAAGGAACAATTACTCATAGCTTCTCAGAATGCAAAAATTTGGGACACCAAGTAAGATTATAAAATGACAAGTTCAAAGGAGATAACTCCTTCACAAAGGTTAATGAAGTAATGGAACGTTTTGCCACAGAACATTTGTATGCCAGAAATATAATCACTTAAAAAAAGCATCAGAAAAGTTCACCAAAGAACAATCTAGCAAGATATACTAATTACAAAGACACTACCTCTGGCTCTGGAAGCTCACAAGCTGTAGAGAGGCAAAGCTGGGAGAGTATATCAGGAATCATCATTCTATACTTACCCTCGGAGGTTCTTACACATCTGCTATTGATCCCTGTCACAGGCTGCATTTCTTAACTATGGTAGAGTTTGTTCTACCTAAGACAGCCATTCTTATCCTACAAAAGCTACCCACAACACTCAAAATGATGACGGACTATGTATTTGTAAAATGGCACAGTAATAGCATCTGTTTTATTCTGCATCTCTCCCTGAGTTCCCAACGTTTTAGTTGCATTTTTTGGTTGGCTCTGAGATGACGTTTTTGTTGGACTGTCTGCAAGGACGCTTTGTTTCACTAGGGCATAATTACACAAGCAAACTGAACGGACTTGAATTAAAAAGAAAAAATCTTTTTTTTAAAAAAACAAAACAACCACCATATTATTTGTTCTCTTAAAGAACTTTCCAGATGACCTTGCGTAGCAGTATCTAGTTTAAAATCCACCGCTAGGTATGTGCAAAGCTACTTCCCTACTTATGTACGGTATGACCAAAAAAAAAAAAAAAGAAGTATCTGCTGCTTTTTCAGGTAGCCATTCAGTAAAAGGAGAGCCTAATGCAATTAAAAAACTAGTTTTAACTAACCATAATATTTTGTATTGGTAATATACTAAGTCATCCTCTTTTTCTGAATAATTCAGTAACGGTACAAACAAACGGCAGATCTTGCCAGGATTTTACAGGTAAAAATCTCCTTTAGCCGTGAGGATCGACCTTCCATTCTTGCCTTAAGGGAGGGGAAAAAAAAAGCTATAGGCAGTTATCAAACCATTAGACTTCACCTTCCTCCCACAAGCCTTTTAGCAAGAGAGCCTGCCAGAAGCTCTCCGGAACCGCAAGTGCGCTGGATCAGATCTGGATGACTACCAGTGTCTTCTTTATGGCCTAAATTCGCCAGGCGAAGATCCCCGCCCCCACGCAAAAAGCAGCCTGACTCCAGCTAATAACTAGTTAATATCCGCGACGCCACATTGAAAAGGAGAGCTGCCGACAGGACAGGGAGGAGGAGGATGCTGCAAAAGCGACGAGAGCTGCTACCGTCCTTGCAGAACCGCAGGCGCGAAGCTCATCTCTGCCCGCCC